GAAGAGTCGGACATGACTTAATGACTAAACAACAGCATTTATAAACTACATTGAAATTCTGGACTTGTTTCCTCCAAAATAAACCACCCTCAGAAAAGCAACTATATATAGGAGTGGAGACTTTAAATATACATTTTATACACTACATAAAGTGTATACACACATTTCACTTATTTGAAATGTAGTGTTGGAAAAGAGGTTTACATATAGCATGACTTGTCAGAAAGGTAAGTAAAGCAAATGTAAGTGTGGACTTTCACTACAAGCTAAAATAACCAAACAAAGGGTACTGTACTACCATCATAAGAAGACAAGCTCACTGGGAAAGGCAACAATGCAAGAAAAAGTGCAAAGCAGTAGGAAAAGAGAAAGACTGCACATGAGATGGATTGACACAATAAAAAAATCCAAAGTCTTTTGTTTGTAAGATCTTTTGTTTGGTATTGCAGTCAAAGTAGAACCAGGAGCAGAACGGCTGGGATTCAGATTTTGGGAATAAACTGTGATAGTCTTGCCTGCTTTGGGGAGGGGAAATAGAGAAATGCAATTGCTACACACTTCAGATTTCTGCTGTTCTCAGCAAACTGCAGAGCTAAATGCAGTGGAGATTAGCAGTTTTGAGTCACACACACACACAATCACACACAAATTTTTTTCCTAAACTTTTAATTCTACAGCATTAACACAGGGGCCTTTGGCAAGGAAAAAAAACAAGTTCCCAAAGAGATACTCTGCTTTGATGAAACAAACTCAGAGTAACATTTATACCAGATAAAAGTACACACATACACCTCACTCCCTCTATTTTGTACATACATTTGAAGTTGCAGGTTCCTTCCCTCCTGCAGCTTTTCCCTCCTGCTTGCAAAATTTCTCTCTCTCTCTCTCATACACACACACACAAACCCCTACATCACTCCCTCTATTTTGTACATAAATTTGAAGTTGCACCTTCCTTCCCTCCTGCAACCTTTCCCTCCTACCTGCAAAGTCACCTCCGGGTGGGGCGGAAGCAGTCATTTGACTCCTGAGGGCCAGCTGTAACCAATCAAGCAGCCTTATCTCCAATCTCTTGAAGAGATCTCTTAAAGAAGGAGTGCAGGAACCAAGGAAGTTAGCAAGGAGAAGCGGCTGACGATAGTTTGAGGTTTGGCTGCGGGGTGGGGGGGGTAGCGGGGGGTAGTGCTCTGCTTGCGTGCTAAGGGAGACGTCTCCGTGTGCCACAGGCGGCATGCCATAGGTTTGCCATCACTGCTTTAGACTATCTCTTCCAATGGGTTTGTTTTGTATTGAAAGTAATTTTTTTCTCCCTAGAGCATTCAACTCTGAAATTCTCTAACTGCAGTTTGAATCAGTGAAGAACCAATATTTCTGCTTTGTTTGCTGCTTATCTCAACTAGGATTTGACACAGGATTAGTTCTTATTTGTGCTGGTATTAATAGTAATGCTTCTTTAGATAAATACAGGTATGACTGACACCATTTCTTTCTCTCTTTTTAGGGACTGAATGCAATTTTTAATATAGCCTTGGCTCTTCTGAAGGTGAGATATTTTCATGTTATTTCAACTTCTGGTTTGCCTCCACCAAGCAATTAACTCTAAAAAGCTACTCAGGGAGCGACTAGATGGGTATTTGCCTCAGTGTTTGTGTCTTCCAACGTTTATGTTCCTTTAGGTCTCAACTGTCCTGTGGACTTCTCTTATATTCTGGGGGTTAAACTGGCATAACAAAGCTTGTAAGATTCTAGTTCTTCTTCGTGGTCTCTGTGAATGCACACAAATGGGTTATTCTGTGCCTGCGCAGGACTTCCCAGAAGTTTTTAGAGCTTAAAGACATGTGATTAGTGGGATGTTCCCCTGTGGAGCGCATGGTCCACCCTCATGAAGTCCCCTCGGTTCCTTTTTAGCTTAGGTCAGACCTATCTCAACGACTAGAGCTACTTTGATCGTGATCGCTAGTGCCTTTTTCTTTATGTGCCCTCACAGGCTTATCCAACTTGTTCCTTTGACATTTCCCCGTGAGTTTTTCTCTGGCTTTATCTCCTCCTCATGGTTTTCTTCCTCCCTTTACTTTCATTCCCCCCCATTTTCTCCTTCCCTATCTTCCTGATCTTTTTATGCCCCCCGGCCTGTTTAAGCAGTGCGTGCTGTGCGCAAAAAAACCCCCGCTTTCAGACAGCCACGGCTGCTGTCTTTTTTGCCTTGGGGAGCAACACCAGACCCATTCCTGCCCAGAGTGTAAGAAGCTTACTAAACCTGCTCTGAAACTCCATCTCCAATGTCTACATTCCTTCCTCTAGGAGAAGTCCTTCCATCCATCCATGGAACCTACTTCACCTCCTGTTTCCAGGCAAGAAATGCCTAAGCCCATGTCAAGCCTGACTATGCCATCTCCGAAACGTAAAAGCAGTCTAAGTCTGCTTCAAAGTCGACTTTGGCATCAGCATCGAAGACTTCTTCGATCTGCTCTCGAGATCAATCACCTAAAAAGAACAAAAAATTAGATCCAAAAAGGTGAAAAAATCATCTGAGTCTATTCACCTTGATCAACCACAGCCAGACCTCCCTTCACTGATTCTGGAAGAGCCTCCAAAGACACCCCTGATTCTTTCTCGGAAAGGGAAGATCCAGTCCCACTACCTCCTGGCCAGGCTCCTACTTCAGTAGCAAGCCGTTTGCCTAGTTTTGGCCTTTTGGTGGCTGACAGACTCTCCAGCCTGGCATTGGCCCATTCTAGCCCTGCATCTTCACGGCAGGCAACACTAGTGCAATTTTCTGACTCTGTGTCCTCTCAGCACAGGCTCTCTCCTTGTAAACACACATCGAAGAGGTGCCATATCTCACCTGATACTTAATGATCCTCTACATTGGGAGTTCTGCTACCTCCAGGAGCCTTCTTGGTATCATCCTCCACTTGCTAACTCAGGACAACGGCAGGATCCACCACCCCAGCCTGGAATCCCTCAACTTCACGGCATGGAGAATTCTCCCTCCATAACAGCTGTTCTTGAAAAGGGTAGGAAACCTTCTACTCATCTTCTTTACAGATAAAAATGGAAGTTCTCCACCTTTGCTGCTTCCAAAGGTCTCTCATCAACACCCATCTCCTTAGAGGTACTTCTCACATTTCTGCTTTATCGTTTTCTCATGGGCTTGTCACACTCCACCCTGAAGGTGTACATTCTGGCAATTGTAGCCCATCAGCCATCAGACTCTGACTTTGCTTTGCTATTCTGTTACCCTACTCTGAAGAAATTCTTTAAGGGCCTCCAAAATATTCACCCTCCTCAGCGTCCTCCACTTCCACAATGGTATTTACAAAGAGTGCTCAATACTCTCACCTGCCCTCCTTTTGAACCATTAGCCACTACCAATTTCAAACTTCTCTCTCTAAAGACTTTATTCCTCGTGGCCATAACATCTGCCAGATGAGCCAGTGAACTAGCAGCCCTCAGAGCAGATCCACCCTATCTTCAGTTTCACCCTGACAAGGTTACTCTATATCCAGATGTCTCCTTTCTGCCTAAAGTCGTGTCAGAGTTTCATCTCAGTCAACCTCTGGTCCTTCCTTCTCTTTTTCTATCTCTAGAATGTACGGCATGCTCCGTACATTCAGTGTTAGACACTCTCTCGCCTTTTATGTGGACAGAGCAAAACCTTTCCGGAAATCTCCATGTCTGTTTATCAGTTATCATGGTCCACGCAAGGGTTCTCCAGCGTCCTCACAAACTCTGTCCAGGTGGATAGTCCAAGCAACCACCTTGGCCTATGGGTTGGCAGGAAAACCACCACCAGACGCTATTAAAGCCCATTCTACAAGGGCAGTTTCTACCCTCACCGCTTTTCTCCGCGGTATAGACGTTTCCCACATCTGTCAAGCAGCTACCTGGTCAACTCCCTCAACGTTTGTGTCTCACTATTGGTTTGACATCAGAGCAAAGAATGAAGGTGGTTTTGGCAGAGCTGTCCTTACCTCCTTTTTGATGTGATGTCCCACCAACCAGTAAGTGAGCTTGCTAGTCACTCATTTGTGTGCATTCACAGAGACCATGAAGAAGAAAGAAAGGTGACTTCCCTGTAACCATGGTTCTTTGAGTGGTTTTCTGTGAATCCACACATCCTGCCCATCCTCCCCTCTGTCCGTCATGTTGTCGTCTCTATATAGATTTTTTTTTTTTTACAGCGGCGGGCGGACCTTTTTGGGAACTGAGGGGACTTCAGGCATGTGCTCCACGGGGAAATGTCCCACTAAGTACATGTCTTTAAGCTCTAGAAACTTTTGAGAGGTCCTACACAGGCGCAGAACAACCCATTTGTGTGGATTCACAGAGGACCACTCGAAGAACCATGGTTACAGGTAAGTAACCTTTATTTTTGCTGCTTTACTGCTGTTGTGAGTGGCCACTAGTTTCAACTTGAATACCTTTGAGCTCTGCATTAAAATGTCATATACATCCTACATGTCTTGCATCTAATGGCCCTTTGGCATTACTGCTTACAGTCTTCTTCGTTTTTTCATGGTTTGTTTGTTTTAGCCTCCTTTGGCACCTATTATCCAGCCTGTGCTTAAAATCTAATGCTAGATGAGGTAGTGGTAGCCTTGAAACCCGAGCTCAGGGTGCAGGTGTACCCTTACATTCAGATTATGCAGGTTTTTGTTGAAACCAGGATTATACTTGCACAGTGGACTTCAGTATGCTTGCTGCATCTATACCTTGCGATGTCTGACCATGCCATATCCTGTTGTGGTTGCTGTAATATGTCTGTCTACACAGGGCTGCCTTTTAAAGATTTTTGTATACTTTGGTTAGTCCAGACTGCATTTATATTGTTGACAAGGACACACATGACTCTCCTGTTCTGGCAGCTTAAGTGATTGGTTAGAAGTATGATTCAAAAGACTTGTATAGATTTCATGCTTTGATGAGCCATTAAACCTTATATGCCTTGGACCTTGGCTGTCTTGAAGACCATATCTTCCAATACGAATCTGTCCTGATTTTGAGATCTTGGAGAAAGAGATCCTTTCTGCTCTGACTTCCTTCTGAGGCAGGTCTGGTGGCGATTTGAGAAAGGGCTTGCTCCATAGTTCCATGTAGACTTCAGAAATCTGTACTGAGGGAAGCTGGGCTGGCAATCTGTTTCTTACTGATAGCAGATAGGCAGGTTGAGGGGTGCTTTTTGACAACTGACTTTGCATGTTGAAGAAGGGCGTTTATGTTTTACATACTTTTTCTACTTGCTTGTTCTCAAATTATATTTTCAATGTTTTATGTTTGTATTCACTTTATATATTAATTGCATTTTTATTAGCTTAAATAAGGTAAACTATGCTCTGTATGTTAAGATCCAGGGTAATATAGTGAGTGGTGTGTCAGATTGTGACTCAGGAGACTGGGGTTCAAATCCTGATTGGCAAAGGAAACTCACAGGGTGTGATTTAGCACTGATAAGACCATTCTTAAATATCCCACATGCCGCTGTGACCTGGTAGTCAACATAAGTTGAAACTGACTTAACAGCATTTTGGGTGTGGGTGTGTGGCACACGTCTATGCATATACATACATGTAAATAAGTTATATATGTTGTTCTATTTTAGAGACGATTAACCTCAGCAGTTCACTGCCTCACATTTCCCAATTAGTATTGCCTATTTATCCCACACACTCCTGTAGCACTGATAAGACCATTCTTAAATATCCCACATGCCGCTGTGACCTGGTAGTCAACATAAGTTGAAACTGACTTAACAGCATTTTGGGTGTGGGTGTGTGGCACACGTCTATGCATATACATACATGTAAATAAGTTATATATGTTGTTCTATTTTAGAGACGATTAACCTCAGCAGTTCACTGCCTCACATTTCCCAATTAGTATTGCCTATTTATCCCAGCATGCTTATTTTATGTAGTTAGAGCAGTTCTCTTCAGTCATTACAAATGTCTCTGCATACAAAGCCTTGACACTTGCCCAGTTTCAGCTTAATGTGGTTCATTAGTACTTGGCTGCTTTATTTTCTCATCTGTCTTGCATCCATGCAGAATCTGGGTGGGACTGATGAGTCTCCGCTTCCCTTCCTCCTCTCTGCCCCACTGCCACTTCCACATGGCTGAGCAGGATGTGATCTTGATTTGATAGCAGATATAAATTGAGTCCAGTGTTTTGGTTGGCTGTCAGTCTGCCTTCCTCTGAGCGAGAGACACTGTGGTTATACAGCATCTCTGGGCTTGGGTAGCTGTCAGACTAACGTAGATGGAAGGTAGATTTGGAGGGGGAGCTCGTCTGTCCAAGAGCTCACTATTGGCTTCTTATTACAGCATTCTCCTCTGAGACACCTTCTGCATGCTCATTCACCCACCTCTGCCTCTCCCTTCCCCCTCCTTTTCTACCACTTCATTACTGATTCACAGCGAGAAGCGGCAGCAGCAGCCTAGCCACGCTTGTCACGAATCAGGGATTGCAATGAGCTCATCCTTTTTCTCTTTGCAGCTTTACGACTGGCCTGGGCTTTTTACTCTTACTGCCGCTTCTGCCTGC